CCCTCCCCAAACCCTTCTACGGGGCCTCTCTTGTTAAAAAGAAAAGCTGGGGAGGTCAGAGAAGGCTTCCTGGAGGAGGCAACACTGAACGAACAGATGCATAAAATGAATGGGATAGAGTGGATCAGGGGCTATTTCTCGAGTGGGAATGGAGGAAGCAAGGAAGGGACTGTCAGAATCGGGGACCCTCAGCCGCTAGGGACAAAGGAGTCTCAAGCCTCAGCGGTAGGCAGGGCTGCAGAGGGGTGCCCAGAGGCTGTGAGTGAGCTCTTCCAGGCTCCGAGAGAGAGAGAGAGAGAGAGAGAGAGAGAGAGAGAGAGAGAGAGAGAGATGTGGGAAATGTCTCTGTGGAGGAGGTGGCGGGCTGGGGAGACACGGGGACTGCAGCTGGTGGATTGGCTGAGAAAGTCATTCCACACGGGGAAAGGCTTGGAGGTGGGAGAGTGGGAGAGAAATATTTAGGGAAGCATTTGATTTGGCAGGAGGGGAGCACGCCTCCTGTGCGGTGATGCTGAGACACCAGGCCTGGCGTCCGGCCTGCAGAGGAGCGACCAGCGGGACGACCCTTCCTGAGCTCGGCTGCGTGATCCTGGAGGCAGCACCGAGCACAGCGAAGGTGGCCAGTGACCACCAGGAGGTTTGCTTAGAGACTGACCAATGAGAACCAATGGGGACAGGACTCCCAAGCCCTGGGGCATTCTGCCATACCCCCCTACCCCACACTGAGTCACAGTCGCTACAGCCAGGGCCAGAGAAAGAGTCCAGCAGGCAGGGCGCTCACTTCATGTGTAGCTGACTGGGGTTTGACTTCAGGCAGCCCATATGGTTCCCCTAAGCTCCAGCAGGAGTGATCCCTGGGCACAGAGCCAGGAGGAAGCCCTGACCACTGCTGGATATGGCCAAAACAACAACAACAAAAAAAAAAACCCAAAACCAGAAGAACAAAACTAAACGAAACCAAAAAAAAAACACACACACACACACAACAACAAATAAACATTAGCAGTGATAGCACTGTCCTCCCGTTGTTCATCGATTTGCTTGAGCGGGCACCAGTAACATCTCCATTGTGGGACTTGTTGTTACTGTTTTTGGCATATCGAATACACTACGGGGAGCTTGCCAGGCTCTGCCGTGCGGGCGGGATACTCTCAGTAGCTTTCGGGCTCTCCAAGAGGGATGGAGGAATCGAAAAGGTCATCCCTGGCAGTGTTTGAGGACAATGTGGTGTTGGGGACTGGACCAGGCCTCTGAGCCATTTCCTACCTACCATGGAGCTTTTTTTTTTTTTTTTACTTTTTGGGTCACACCCGGCAATCCACAGGGGTTACTGCTGGCTCATGCACTCAGAAATTATTCCTGGTGGTGCTCAGGGAACCATATGGGATGCTGGGAATCGAACCCGGGTCGGCCGCGTGCAAGGCAAACGCCTTACCCACTGTGCTATTGCTCCAGCCCCTACCATGGAGCTTCTTAAACCCACAACAACACGCGCAGGCCGCCAGGGTCCCAGTCAGAATCCTGGAGGTTCAGAGAAATGCATTGGGCTGGGAAGGTTTTCTGTTCAGGGCTTGACAGCCAGAATATGGCGGAGAAAAAGAAAGACCTTCCGCTCTCTCTAGACCCCGGGGATGAGGAGCGAGGCAGCCAAAAGGGCCTCGAGTCTGGAAATTCTGCACAAAACAAGATCCTCAATCTAGTCCCTGATATGGTGGCTCAGAAAAATCAGTAAAAGCACCCAGATCTGACAGTCGCCCGTCCACATCTGTGTTCATTCATCTGATTCTTCCTGGATCTGAGTGAGGCAGGGGGTTCTCAGTTATTCCCATTTCACAGGTGAGGAATCTGTAGCTCAGGTGGAAATCCACAGACAGTTTGCACTGGGGCCTGTTAGTCCCAAGTCCTCCCCCCAGCACCACATTCTGAACTGTGTAGATGGGTAGATGGGAGTAAGTTTACCACGTCCCTAACTGTTGTTCTGGAGAACATGCTGTGTGCCCTGGACGGATCGCCTGCCATCTTTGTGCCTTATCTCAATCAAGGAGGGCTGGACAAAGGTCTCAAGAATACATCGAAGGTGGAGTTCATGCCCCATCATTCAATCAGCTTAATCAATGGCTGAATAAATAGCAGTATTCGTATATTCAAAAAAAAAAAAGAAGAAGAATACAAGGAAGATCTTAAAGATTGCATTTAAGGATATAACGAAGATCTGGACAATCTCCAGGACAGTTCCTGGCCAATGACAGCAGCCAGTAGGACCATTGGCTGGGCAAAAGGAAGAATGAAGAGAACAGTCCAGAAGGGAGAGGCAACTTGGAGAAGCAGAGACCAACTTTGGCAGACAGAGAGCGTTCTGGGGAAAGGGAATTGGGATAGAAATTGGAAGAAGGCAGAGACAAGAGCCGGCCTCTCCTAGTTTCCACGTCACTGGAGCAGGGCTGGGGAATTCCGACATGCTGCTGTCTGGTCCCTGACGGAGCAGACACGTGTGTACTTCTTGGCTGCCCAAGTAGGATTCTCGGACACCCTCCGAGCGAATGACGTTATAAATATCCACAGGGCCCTTGCAGAAGAGGGTTCCCCGCCCTCCTCTGGAGGAATTGGGCTCAGGGTGTGGAGGATGAGAGAGTGACAAGGATACATCCCAGAGGCCTTAAAAGCCAGGGCAGGACATTTGGCTTTCGTCACTGAACTGCTGGAAGCTGGCAAGTGTCAGGATGGCTTCTGCTGAGAGGCTGTTAAGAGAGGTGGGTCTTGCTGCAGGGTGGACAGCAGACAGAAAGTGGGCGGCTGCAGGCAGAGGCCTCTGAAGGGCAACACCAAGATGGGGGAGGGGACGGACCTATAGCCAGGCCCTCCTTATTAAGGAAGGTTGGGGGGCCCTGGGGTTTCATTCTTCCTCCCGCTGTGCTGGATCCTGACACCAACCACACTGAGAATGGGCAGGGAAGGACCAGCCGGGGAGAGGGCTGAAGAGGAGACTGGGGTCAGAAGGTCAATCACCCTCTCCTCTGTTTCCTGGCTTCCTGAGCCCCCTGTGCTGATCAGATTCTGCCCCAGTCCTTGTCCTTGTCTTAGGCTCAGGGGTCACTCCTGGCTCTGTGCTCAAGGGCTACGTTGGTTTTATTTATTTATTTATTTATTTTGGTTTTTGGTTTTCACACCTGAGGATGCTCAGAGGTTACTCCTGGCTCTGCACTCAAGGATCACTCCTGGTGGTGCTCGGGGGACCGTTTGGGGGCGCTAGAGATCAAACCCATGTTGGCCTCCTGCAAGGCAAGCATCTACCAGGGGCTACTCTGAGCTATGCTCTGGGTGGATCTGGGATCAAACTGTGATCAGCTCAAACTGTGATCAGCTTCCTGCAAGCAACACTCGGGAGTCACTCCTGCCTCTGCCCTTAGGAATGACTCCTGGCAGTGCTCGTGGGACCGTATGTGGGGACAGGATTGAACCGAGGTCAGCTGCGTGCAAGACAAGAGCTCTCCCCACTGTAGTACCGCTCTGGCCCCCACTGCATTTTTTACAGGGACCTGACATCTCTGAAAGACTCTTCCCTCACACAGAGACCTGCAGAGGTAGCAGGCCCAGGGTCCCTGAGGTGGGATGTTCTGGAGCCTGTGCCATTGGGGCCCAGGTCCCTGCAGTTGCCTAGAGGAGGCCCTTCAGCATCCTGATGGCCAGAGCCCCACTGTGAGGAGATGGCAGGATGCACATGGGGTCTGTGATACAATTTCAAAGACTGAGAAATTGCAGCCAGCACCCCGCTGGCCTCCCGGTGCCCAGGAAATTGGGCTTCTAATTGGGGCTGGGGGAGATCTCAGACTGAGAGGTGGTGGGGGGGGGGGGGTTTCCAGCTCCCACACTGTGGAGACCCAGCAGGTTCCAGCCATCTGCACTGGCCCCTGGCAGGGTGAAAGAGTGAGCGGGATCACAGAGGTGGGGGGTGGGGGTGCAGGAACGCTTTGTTCTCCGGAAGCCCGTTCATCCTGCCGCCTTGGCCTTCTGTTTCTCCTTCCCGAGGCAGGCAGACAGGCCAACACAGGAGCCCAAGTGGAAAAAGAAAAAAAGAAAGAAAGAAAAAAAACAAAACAGGGAAAAGCAGTAAGAAGGAGCAAAAAGAGTCGGTGTGCAAGCCCAGGCCATGGCAGGGGGCACGTTGCCCAATCTGGGAGGGCGAGGGGGAGGGGAAACGTGCCTCAACAGAGCACAAGTTCCTGGGAGGTCTGTGGATCAAAGCCTCCCTCACCCCCCCACCACCTCCCGCCAGATGCCTCTAGGAAGTCTGGAACCCCCATCACCCCTACACTGCCTACCCGTGGAGACTGAGAGACAAGTGGTCCCCGGGGAACCCCGTTGCGGCCACCAGACAGTTGTTCCAGCCCTGCCCGCCGCCCCCCTACTCCGCACCCCCCCCCCCAAATTGTAATACTTCTTGGCTGCTTCTCTGCCCCGGTTCCCAGTAAGAAGCAGTAAGGAGGGACCAGGAGGTGTGCTCCGTTGGCCAGGCTGCAGCCTAGTCCCACAGACCCTCACAGACCAACGGGAGCCCGGGGGTCCCTGCAGAAAAAGTCAGTCTGCGCCTAGCTCCCTGCTCTCCGGGCCGGCCTCTCCGCGCTTCCCCTCCTGGCCAGCCTTCCCGGGCTTCGGATTCTCTCGGTGTCCCAGTGACTTTTTAAGTCTCTGGACCTTCCATCCTTTTTTTTTTTCTTTTTTCCTCTCCTTTTGGAAAGCGGAGTGGGGAGGGTGGGGGGAAGCGGGGCCACCCGGTTCTCCCGCACCCGCGCGCCCAGGCGCAGGCAGAGCGGCGGGCGCGCTCCAGCTGTCCCCGGGCTGGACGTGGGGTGGGGGTGGACCCGGGATCCCGGGCGGTGCAGGAAGCTGCGAGCGCGGCCGCCGGAGTGGGCGGGCGCCGCGTGCGCACTTTGGAGACGCTCCCCGGGGTGGGACCCGGGCTCGGCGCGGCTCGGCGGGCGGCGGGGTGCGCTCAGGGCCGGGCCGGCACTTTGGCGACGCTCCCTGGGCCGCCGGCTGCCCAGTCCAGGCCGCCACTGGACGCCGGGCGCGCGTCGGGGCGCGGGGAGGGCCCGGGGGGCGGGCCGCGCGGCGCCCAGAAAAACGCCGGGCCCGGGGCCGCGGCCGGGCCGAGCGGCTGCAGCGGCGGCGGCGGCGGCTTCCAGGTGGGTGCGGGGGGCTCGGGGCGGGGGGCGGGGGGGCGCGAGCTCGGGGGGACCCCTCCCCCACCCCGTGCCCGGGCGCGCGGTCTCGGGGCGGCCCCGCAACTTTTCCCGGACCCCGGGTGCAAGGCTGCCGCCGCCGGACACCCGGACGCGGTCCCACGGGGACACCCGGACTTCGGGGAGGGGGTTGCGGGGTGGGGGGCTTCCCGGAGACAAAAGACCGGCCGCGGCCCGTGGGTCTTTGTGCCGCCACGTGCGTCTTGCTTTGGGAGCCGGGGGTCTTTGTGGAGGGGGTCCGGGCACTGGCGTCGGGCTCAGCCTTTGTGTCGGGGGCTCAGCGCGGCCGGGGCCCGCGCGGGGGGTGGCTGGGCTGGGCTGGGCTGGGCTGGGCTGGGGGCGCACGTCGCGGTGTGTCCGCGTACGTGGTCTGTGCTGTCGACGTGTCGGGGTCTGGCGCCCGTGGAGCGGGTGCGCGCCCAGGGCCAGACACCGCCCCGACGCCTCGCCCCCGCGGTCCACCCCGGCCCCCGACTTGGCTGCAAACTTTTCTCCCGGTTTCTCGGGCAACCGCCCCGGGACCTCCCCCCTTCCCCCCACCCCCTCTCCCCGCCGCCACCACTGCAGCCCGGGCGCTGGACCGGGCTGGACGCTGACCAGCCTTCCCCTCTTGTACCCCTTGCACTTCTCGGGCCTGCGAGGGGATCAGAGCGGATTGGGAGGTGGGGGGCTCGGCCTGGAGGGACAGGCCGAGGCGGGAGGCCCAGTGGCCGCCCCGGACATCCCCCTCCAGGCCCCGGTCTGGGGAATGAGTGGGGAGCCCAGCCGCCCTGGACCTGGACCGCGGTGCGCTGCACCGTGGAGAGCAGAGGGCAGCGGGGTTGCCCGGGGCCGGCGCCGCGCCGCCGCTCAGGGCGAAGGTGCGTGTGTCCGCGGGAGACAGGTCCGCGGGTCCATGCTGGGAGATCCGCTCTGGCTGGCATCCCGCCCCGGGTGCGGGGACCTGCCCCCGGATCCCGGGAGCCCTGGGACCGGGAGAAGGTGACGGTCCCCGCGCGCGCGCGCGGCGGGGAGGAGACGCTTCCACGCGCCGAGTTGGAGCTGGGGCTCAGTCCCGCCTCGGGGTGGGGGACAGCAGCGTCGTGCAGTCGCATCTCCAGCCCCTCGCGGCCACCTGGGAGCAGGCCCGCCCATTCTTGGCCGGGCTTGGGGTGAGTCAGGAACTTCCCCATCCTTCCTCGGAGCCTCCTGCTCTGCTCTTGGATCAGCCCAGACTTGCCAAGCCAGGGCTGACCCCGAGCACCCAGCTGGCGGGAGCCTCCTGGGTTTGGGGTCTTGAGCCTCTGAGTGGAAGATACCCCCTCCAGACCCCCAGCGGGAACAGCACTGCCCCCCTCCAGCCCCCAGCACTTTACCTGGATGTAGCAGATTGTAGGAGAGGCACAGGCCAACAAGGGCTGGAGGCCTTCACAACCTCTTCTTTCAGTGCCCCCGGCCCTCAGTTTCCCTTCTGAGGCACCCATGGCCTTTTTCTTTTGGCTGACTGAGCCCCCAGCCTGGAAACACAAACCGAGCAAGCGCTCAAGCTTCCTTCTGTACCCTTTCCTAGCTACTAATTTGCTCTTGTGAAGGAGGTCGCTTTGAAGTTAGACAGGGATGAAGAAAGGCGGGGTTGGCTCGGAGGAAGCCAGGTGTGTTCCCCCCGGGCGAGCACCAGGCTTCTCGGGAACCCTTGCTGGGCACTGTGCTGATTGCCAGATGCGAATCTGGGGGCTTGGAGGAGAAATGAACTTGAGACTGGGAGGGCTGTTCAGGGCCAGGGATTCGGACCTGGCGGCAGCAGGGAGAGAGATGGGTGGAGGACTGAGTAGGGCAGGGGGTGGGGGGAAAGGTCATTCCAAGAAGCCATCTGGCCCGTGGGTGGAGGCCCGTGCTGCGCCTGGGAGAAGTGAGCACGGCCTGAATTCGGGCCTCACAAGTTACTCCCCAGCCCGGGCTCTGGGGCCTTCACCTTCCTGCTCCTCCATCTCCTCGTCCTCGGGCTGCCGGCCTCGCACCACCAGCTTGATGGGGAGATGGGGAGACTGTGCAGCACTGGCCAATGATCGAGAGGTCACCTGTGGTCCTCCGTCCCATTTCACCACGGGCAGAGCCTCCCCCCCCACACCCCTTCACCTGTGAGCTGGGATGGGCTTTTAGTTCTCTCTAAGCGGAGCTCAGCTATCTGCCCCTGGACTTAAACTCTCAAGCCTTCGCTCCTTTGCCCATGCCAGCCCCTCGACGGGCCGGGTAGCAGAGGCACTGGATGCAAATCCCCAGGGCCTGCAGACTACCAAACCTGTGGAACCTTGGCGAGCCGGCTGGGAGCCCACAGTGGGGTTGGCCTTTGGCTGGCCGAGGGGCGGGGGTTAGACTGGGAAGGCCTTTCAGAGGAAGTGACGCTGACACCATGCTTTCTGCACCCTAGGTGGGCACGCCATCTCCGTCAGAGGGACAGCGGGGCCACAGCTCGCTTCCTCCCCAGGGAAAGAGGCCTCTGCAGCCCATGTGTCCTGGGCTTGGGAGCAATGGTGGGGCCTTAGCTTCTGGGCAGCACACACGGGCACTGGCATGTCTGGCCCGTGCGAGCAAGGGGCCAAGCAGGAGGCCACTGGAGCAGGGGCTGCCCCCTGATGCAGGCACAGGGGCAGGGAGGATGTGACCCCCCATCCCCCCATGTCCTGGCACAGACAACACAACTGCTTTAGCCCACTCAGGCCTCTGTGGCCTTCCTGACTCCTTTTACTAGCCGGGTTGGGACTCAGAGCCCCAGGGCTCCAATCTCGCCTAGCGCTGTGCCATGGCCCACCCTGCCCTGAGAGCGAATTCTAGGCAGGGCCGTGCCTTTTGGAGGGTCCAATCTCTGCCTTTTTTCTTTGCTGGTCCTCTCTCATCCCATTGGGATGAGAGATTTGGGAACCCAAATGCATCTGGTCCCGACGGGGCTGCCTGCCTGTGGTCTCATGGAATCCAAATGGTGGGCTTGCTCCCATGCTGGGAGAGTTGGGGTGGGGGGGCCTCAGTGTAGCCTGAGATGTGGAAGAGGGGTGAGGCTCCACCCAGTCCTGTGGTGAGGCACTGGGCCTGGCCCTGGTAAGGCCTGTTTCCCTGCACTCCGGCCTGCTCTCCTCTCTGCCCACACGTGTAGCCTCGGGCCCACGGGAGCACAGACTCTCCGGAAAGACCTGCAGGAAGGAGAAAATAGCAGTGGGAGCCCTGCTCGTTTCCCGGAGTTTATCCTCTAGGGCAAGCTTGCTGGGTTCTGGCCTCAGCAGAGATGACGCAGAGATGAGGCCAGGCCCCGGGAGGGCGGCAGAAGAGCTGGGTCCCTTCCGGCTTCCGATCTTGCAGGCTGTGAGTCTGGGTAGGTTGCTGAAGCCCCCTGAGTATCCTCCTAGCACTGTGCCATGGCCCACCCTGCCCTTGACCCTGCTGACCTTGTCAGGCCTCTGTCAGATCGTTTACTTGAAGCTTTGGAAAGCTTGAGGGGTGCCCAGGATTAGGGCCCACTTGGGCAACAGGGGCATGGCAAGGAATGTGACCGCCTCCTTGCCCGTTTGTGAGTGAGGCAGAGTGTATTCAGAGCACTGGGTCTGGAGCTGAGGCATCAGCTCTGAGTCCCAGTTCCTCGACAGATGGTCACGGCATGTCCCTTTCAAGTAGAGGAGCCAGCCCCACGGTCAGGGCCTTGGACGAGGCAGCAGCGAGTGGCCAGTGGCGGCGTGCGTGGTGAGCCGACGTGTTTATACAGATGTGGGGCATTAGTGACTCGGCTCTGGAGTTTGGCCCTGAATTCTTTCTGCCTTGCGTTTGCTGAGCCGCCGGCTGAGTGGTCAGGGGCAGGACGTCCATGGAATTCCCACCTGGGGATTTCTTGGGTGTCAGCTTATGAGTTCACAGCTGTGGGGAGCGGGGTAGAAAGCAGGTTGGCTCCAGGAACTGCAGGGGTGAAGGGCTGTTTCAGGGGGTCCCGGCCCACCCACAGCTCCTCCCTCTGCCTGGCTCTTCCCTGGGCCCTAGGCCGCCTCCCAAAGTCGTGGCAGAACTGGCAAGTCTTCTGGGTGGGAGACGCTAGGGCGGCGGCTCAGGGCTGGCCTGGGGGCTGGGACCCCTAACCTCAGGGAGGCCAGCAGACCCCAGCACAGAGATAGAGAACTTGCACCCCTGCAGCTCATAGTCAGGGGGTGCCTGGCCCCGCTCTGGACCCTCGGAGATATGTACAGAGCACTGGCAGCTGACCCCCACCCCTCCAGACTCGGCCTGTCTCCCCCATCCTTGCTGAGTGAATGCGTCTCACACCCTTACAAGAGATATTTCTAGGGGCTCTGGCTGGGGGGAGGGTGGGGAAAGGGTTCCTGTGCAGGACACTGGGGCTCTTCGAGACTGGGAGGAACTGCTGGGGGCTAGAGGGGGCTTAGCTGGCTAGAGGGCGCCTGCACTGAACTCTGAACTGCTGGGTTCTGTCTAGCTGCGTTTGCAGTGGCCATAGAAGCCCCCTCCAGCCCCAAGCTGCTTGCACGATAGGTCCGGAAGCAGGCAGGCCAGTAATGGCCGAGCACTGGCTCTGTCCAGAGAACAGAAGGAGGTGCCACAGGGCTGCAGGAGGCCCTGGAGCTGTCAGGGGACATCTGGAGACCAGTGCACAGGTGGGTTGTGCTGGGCTGGCCGCCGGGGAGGCTTCAGAATTAGGCCTGGGCCAGCCTGGCCATCAGCGGCCGTCTCTGGGCCGTAGTTTCCTTGGAACTTTCCAGCTGAGCTGCAGGGAGTGTCAGTGGAGGCTGAGGATTCTCGTTTCAGATCAGGACAGCGTCCCGGCGTGGGGAGGGACAGGTCAGAACATACAGGTGTCCCCATGCAGGGAGAACTTGATTTCTGTAGGTAAAAGTAGGAGAAAGGGTATTTTGGGGGGCTGGGGGAGCCCCGAGGGGAAGATGGGGGGACACGGACAATGCTCAGGGCTTACT